GGAATTATTTATTCTGAAATCTTTTTTGGATTTTCCAGAATAAATAAATAAATAACTAATCGAATGCTAACTCATCAAGAATAATATCTATTCTAAGAGATATGAAGTATACTTGAATGAGAAAAGCTTAGAGAAAATGAATATTTAATATATCATATGATAAATTCTCATTCGAAATAGAAGATTCTGAATTTTTCAATTGTATTTTTATTTATTTCTAATAATTAAAAAGGTAAATTCTAATTTATTCATTAACGGAAGAATGTTTTTTATTACATTCGGTACATCTTATGAGAAAGAGTTTATTTCTTATCATATATTCAACCCCGAAGCAATTCTATTCAATAATAATGAAGTTTTTATTTTCAATAAAAGTATTATTGCGTGTATGTACTACGTGTCAATCGGTGTATTTCTCATTTATTTTAACTTAAAAAAAAAAGAAAGAGATACATGCAATGTTACATATAAAATAAAAAGAGTTAGTTGGAATATATCAATTCTTTTCCTGTTCTCTCTGTCTCATTAAACGGTGTTTCTATTTCTTTTTTTTTCTTTTCTTATTTTACAATTAGAACTCTATGATTTGATGTAACCAAAAAAAGAAAAAATTTTATTCTACAATGGATTTATATACTTATTATTTACATAATAATAAAATAAAATTTGAGTATAATTTAGATAATATCCGTTTGGAACTAAAAGTAAGTAAATCAATTAATATATAATTATTCTTTTTATATAAAAAAAAAAGAAAACAATAAATCAAATAAAAATCTCTAGATAATCAAAAATTAGTTCGAAATTATTGAAAGAAATATTCTTACAAACATTAATCTTATCATACGAGAATACTTACTTTTAGTGTTGTTATTAATATGTCTGATTACTCTTGGGATTCAACAGATGATTTTCTTCTTCGTCTGTAGATAGGATATGTCTCGGTATTTAGGATACGAGACATATAAATGTGTCATTTTATGTCGAAATGACAAGATAAAAAAAAAATACAAAGTATCATACAATGCATATGTCTTTGATTATATTCTATTGACAAATAATAAAGAAAAACTGTTTTTGTTCTTTTCATTATTAAATTAAATTTCTTTTTTTTTTCTTCAATAATATTCTTGTGCTTGAAAATATTATAACAATAATAATAACGATGAAAGAAAAAAAAAAAAGACTTCCCTTTCTTTTCTTTTCCGTTCCCATTTTCCGGAAGAGAATTCCGATTCATAAAAAACACACGAAATAAGACCGATTTAGTTGTACTATAGCTTTACTAAGTATTCTATAGACACAAAAAAAAGAAAAAGAAATTATGGTACATTGGAAGTGGCATGAATGCTTGCATGTAAGCTAGATAGGCAGATCACTTTTTTTTTTTGTCTCATGCTGTTCATTGATAATCAAAAACATGTGACTTCAAGTTTCCTCTTTTTCTATTTCTATTTTTATTACAGGCTCGATTAAATGATCGTGATGAAATTCGACGAAAGTTAGCAGCAGGTAATGAATCGGAAGGTGAAAATGAAGATTATTATACATCGGATTATATAAAAAAGACAATGGTCACAACATCACATCGACGTCGTCAAGGTAAAAAAAAAAGAAACAAAAGCAGACATTATGATATGTCAATCGGCACCATTGATACATATTTCTTAATGAAGTCGATGTCATCAATCATGATTAGTCTTGATATAGAAAGTGAATGACACTTAGAGTAAGGCGGGAGATAGACATATTTATAAAAGAAATAAGAAAAGGAACATTTGTCCCGAATGTATTTCCTACTGTTTTTGTTCGTTAGTAAATAGATGAGAAAATAAGAATCTATATTTATTCCTACCAATAATTACTATTTTCGATGGCGTATAATACACGTGATAAGATTTATGATATTACAGGTTCAAATTTACAAATATGTTTTGTTAATGAACATCATCAAGCAAATGAATTATCTGATAATGATTTATCTACACAAACAAAAAATTTAAAATCCGATGAAATAAATTCATCTATAATAGAAAATAATGATGAAGATATTCTTGCAAAACAACAAAGATTAAAAGTAAAAATTAATTTATATTATTTTAATAAATTTTTTTTTTTTCTTTTGTAAAGGAAGAAGCTAAAGTTGCTCTTGTACTTGGTGCAAAAATGGCACGAATGCAAGTACAAATTGAACGACGAGCTTTAAAAAAGAAAAAATCACCACTTTATGATATTGTATTTAAATTATAAGAATTTTTTTTTTTTGATTAATACTTGTTTCTTTTTTTTTTTAATTAAAGATTGGTATTAATACGAATGATGATAAACCATTAACTCTTCGAATGCTTGAAGATATGAATATTGGTCAATTACAAGTTATTGTTAATGATTTACATTGTCAGATTGAAGGTATATTTGATCTTTCATAAAAAACAAAATAATAAAATTGTTATGTTCTTTGTTATTTACGTATTTAAGGTCATAATGAAGAACTAGTCAATCTTTTAATGGAAAGAGATTCATTAAGTATGGAACAAGATTCAATTCTTGTTGATATTGAAGATTTAACAAAGTAAGAATTGAAATTTTAATGATTTGATATACTTTTCTTTTCTTTTTTTGTTAAAAAATTCTAGACGTTTACAAGAACGTGCTGCTAGTTTATCACCAGAATCAAAACGAACATCAACAAATGGTGCAGCACAACGTATTTATATTGTAAAATCACCAACAACACAACAACAACAACAAGATGTACAGAAAAAATCTATTCTTCATAATCTTTTACGTAAAGCTACTTTTACTTAAATTATTATTCAATTTATTGCCGGTTTGCTTTTTCTATATTAATTTAATGAAATGAATGTGCATGTCCGTGTGTGTGTTTATTACATTTCTTCGTAAATTTATAGCGTTAAGCTTAGGATTTCTTTTCTTTTTCATGGCCTATTGGTTCGACTTGTTTTTTTTTTTTTTTGATTATAAAATAAATGTTTTGCAGTTTGAAGAATGTTTCAACAGACTCAACTTGAAATAATTATTAATATAAGTATTAGTGTGAACGGAAATGTTGTAATATGTCTAGCAAAACTTGTAACGCTTCGTATAAATCTAATTGATCTACTGCCGAAGCTCTAACGATTTAAATGCTACAACAGAAAAATAGATATTTGATGCTCAAAAATTTTTACTAAAAAAAAATATTAAATAAAATCTGAAGACTTCAAAAAGTAGTAGCATGCACAAATACTAATGAAAATATATCTGCAGGATATTGCTAAGTAATTATTAAACTTTCTGATCTGATGTATAACTAAGCGGTGGTACCATTCATAGAAAAGATAAATAAAATTGATGTGAAGACATTGATTAAAAAGTCTAGAATCGTATGAATATTAAGAACAATCTTCATTTTTATAAAGGATGGCCAAGAACTCTTCACTCGATTTGAATAATAAATTTTTCTTCAGTAAAAAACATGGTTAAAAATTTATTTCTATAATGAAAAGATGCAGTAAAGCACGCTCTACAAAATGCGTATTGCTTGACCCCGATTTGTGCTTCATAAAAAATAAAAATTAACCTTGAACTCGATATCGATTCTGTAGAATAAATTCTTTCTTTAATAGAAGCGTTGTGAAATTATCTTATATGCGAGGGAAAAAAACCGTTGTAAGTTTGTTATTGTTTTTCACTTAAACTTTTTCTTTTTGTATTATTTCCGTAAAACAACATAGAAAAAGTGAAAACTCAGTTAAGCTTGGTACCTTCAAATGTACACTCTCTCTTAATTCGTAACAATTTTTTTTTTACAGAAGATTGTGTATTGGAAATCCAAGCTTGAAAAATAAGTCAAAAATCAATGTCCTCGCAAGAAACAGAAAACGTAATCGAAGTTTTGATGCTGCAGCTAGATAGAGAAGAACAATCATTTCGGACCAAAACATAATAAACTTGATTGAAAAACCTTTTGTTTTGATGAAATTATAGGATTTTTATGTACTGAAAACGCCACCATATGAAACGAATTCATGGTTAAGTTGTATTTTTGTGAAGCACATTTGTAAGCTTTCTTACTATACGAGGTAACAGAGGTTAATCAATAGTCATTTCATAGAGCATGTTTTACTGCATCTTTTCATTATAGAAATAAATTTTTAACCATGTTTTTTTTTACTGACGAACCTTTATACTTAATATGCTAACAGTCAAATAAATGGTAAAGAAAATCACAGAATTTCTTTTGTACATTAAGTATAAATTAATATTTATCAAGAAATATCATAAAATATTTTATTTACCAATGAAAACTAGTTAATATTGAATAAAATATTCAAGTTTTAAAATAAAAATGACTAGTAATGTATGTTAAATTGGATAACATCATCTACTCATTTTTTTGAATCACTCAAATACACTTTCAGAAAGTTGCTTGATAGAGAACTTTTCGCTCTACGAAATTGTTATGTTTATTTTTCACGTGAGTTTTTGTTGTTGGAGCAATATTTAAGATATTAACATTCATTCATCTTTTAATATATGATTTCGAAGAAATAGTTGCGAGAAAAATCTTGTATGGTAGAATTATGTGAATAAGTTTATTAATTTGATATAGTCTAATCCTTTTTTACTCTTCAACTCAATAGTCACAACGTTTTATGCAGGATTAAGTCTGAAATTTGATAGCATAAAATTGATAATTTCATACATCAAGTCTAGTTTTCAAAAAAAAAAAATATTATTCTGAACTGCATACAAAGGTATTACTAGGTATTAGTCTCAAGCTTTTTTTCTCATGAATGATAACATCAAGAACCTTGAAAAAGTCGTGATAACAAGGAGCGAAAATTCTATTTTGATAGACTTTCTGAAAATGTACTGAAGTCTATATTATAACGGTATAATTTCACTGAAAAGCAAGAAGAACTCTCACTATCGGTTACTTTTAAACTGAAATTTGATGTAAACATGAAGCTACTAGTATACTCGCTAAGAAAAAAAATTCCATCTAAAAAGTATTGTTTAATTTTGCTCACATCCTTAAAAATCTCTATTCCTAATCATTAAAAAGTATCAAATCCATTAATTTTCTGGCAGCACCATCAAGATAAACTGCCTTATTTAGCTACACTGGTCAGACGCTTATATTCAATACCAGCAACATTAGCTTGTGTGAAATGAGAACTCAGTGATGGTGATCTTGTAATAAATGAATAAGGATCATCAGTAAACCTTGATACATTTAAAAATGTTGTATTCATTTGTTCAATTTACAAGGCAATCAAAAACAATCGTAATTTATTTTCTGTATAAATATGATTGTTTTGTATTTATTCTAATGTTCATTGTTGTGCTTTTTCATTTGGTAACTTATTAAATATATTATATAATAAAATTGTTCATTAAAAACTGATGATTAAAGTAATTTTTATGCTTGTCACAATTTTCTGAACAAGTTGAAATATGATAGGAAATATTTTTGAAATTACTTTTGAGAACAGAAAATTTCTTTCTAGCTGTCATTAAGAAGTAACCCGAATTCGAGACCTAGTAGATACCACTCAATACTATAAAATAGTCACAAAAAACAAAAAATTTTAGGTTAGGAGAAGAGTGCGAAGATACTCTTAAAGCAATCGATGCTTGTGGTAAAATCATGCGATAAGTTTTAATTATGTTATTAAAAAGCATTGAGATTGGAGTTTTCTAGATAAAATTGAAATTTTAATATTGCTTCTAATCAACTCACAAAAAGTAATGTTCTTATTTTCATTAGACGAACTAGAAAAATTTATATTTTTATGAACTGAATAACTTCAAGAAACATCAACAACGAGTGCATGAGGTACTTAAGGAAAGGATAGACAAAAGGAAAGACCATGAAGAAAGTATTAGGCTTACTGTGGTCATACTTTTATCTTCATTTTCTCGTTGCTTAGAAGCACCTCGATGATTCTCGTCTAGAATTTTTGTTGCCATCACATCTTGACACCAATCTAAACAAAGACCCCTTCGTACTGTGTAACAGAAAATAAAGTTCTTATAGAATCATATTGCTTTCGATACAAAGTTCATGAATAATATAATCTTCATCCAAAAAACTTTGTTTACAATAAAAGCAAGTCAAAAAGCATTCTACAGTCATTTTTTGCAGCCTTTTATTAATAAAAGACCTATTCAAAATCGTCTAGCGATTTTTTATCCTGCGAAATAGGTCATCTCAACAACTTAATTCATAATAAGTAGCACTCTCAACTTTCCATAGACAAAGGAACAAGAAGTCTAAAAAAAACTTACAATAAATTTAATTTCCAGATCATTCAAGACGAATAGGTCATTTATGATCCATTTGCATCTACATAGTCAAATGACTTCGCCCCAACCTTAACCATATCAGTATCCTAATTAGCACTTATATAAATTATTTTCATGATTGACTAAACAACAACACTACTAAATTAGTCCCAAGAGGTGAACCTAATGCTCTATTTGCCTAAAAAAGCATCAACAAAACATATACTGTCATTTTCTGCAATAATGATTATAAAAGATTTACCAAAAATCATATACCTTTTTTACAAGTCTACTCAAAGCGAGTCGAAAATATTCTTGGATTCAATATCAATTACAGACATGATAAAAGCGTAAATGAATAGAATTGCTAACTTTTTCTTTTCTTTTAATGGTAAAACGTTTTTTTCGTGTATTTCATACTCTTGCAAAGAATCAAATTTTTATTTTTATTTTTATTTTGAATTAGAAAGGGAACATTAATGTGAAGAAAAAACAAATGAAGAAAAAATAAAAATAAAAAACAAAACTACATAATAGCAACCAACATGACAGCACAAATGTAAAATGAAAGCCTGAGTATTTTATTTATTTATTATATCTATTCTCATTCGATTAACATGGACGTTCAACAAGCATTCTCAACTGTTATACAAGTAATGATCATCAATATAATTAAACATTTCAATCATATATAGTTTCATTTTTTTATGCTTACATGGTTGTATTGGAATGTAGATAGATAATGGATGAATGAAAAAACGGAAAAGTACTATAAGAAAAAAAAATGAGAAATAAAGAAAGAAAATAAACGTTTTGTTGAATAATATCATGTTCATTTGTTTGATGTTGATAATTTGTTCTAACTCGATGTGTTTCTATGTGATCATGTTTGATTTTATAATTATTTTCTCACATAAAATTTTGAAATAAGAAGTTAATATCTGCAAGTTTTCATCATTAATGATATAACAGCATATCAGTTCGTTGTTTTTAGGATCCCAATTGCCTATCACCCAGTCATCATCGCTTATGTTTTTCAGCTTTTGTTGCTTTTCTTTATCAGCAGAAAGCTTTTTAATAAGCATTTTATACCATATGTTATTATGTGCCTTTTCGTATTTGGCACAGTAGTAGGTGCGATGAGCTCCAGCAATACGTAAAAATCGAACTAAATTTCTGTTGTTTTTTTTCCAATTTTTGATCTTGTTTTTTAATTTTTTGTTGTTTATTGTCAAATTTTCGTTTTTCTTTCTTTTAATGTTGCTGTTTTTTGTCAAAACCTCTTCAAAACTAAATTTAACATGTCCATCCCACAGTTTCTTAAAAGCAATAGAAATTTCTTTTATATCATTTGTTGAACCTTTGTTATTTTTGGTGTAGTTTAGATGATCGTATGTTGACCAGATCGTTTGCATAATGATAAACAAGTCATTTTCATTTTTGAAAGAGTTATAAGCTTCCTTCAAATGACTGGAATGCTTAATGCAAGGAATATCATTATCATCAATTTGAAT